CCCGGCTGAGACGCGGTGCAGACGCGAAGGCTGGGCTGTCGGCGAGGGTTGCTGGCGCCGAGGTTCGGACAGTGAGTTCCCGGGCGGGGCGCTGGACGCGGGCGTGGGAGGGCGATGGCCGCGGAGGAGGCAGCGGGGCCGCGTGGAGCCGGTGCCTGGGACGCGGGATCTGGGTCGGGAGCTGCCGGGAGCCCGAGCTGGGAGCTGCGCGAATGGAGAGCCCACCATGAAGCTCCGGGGGCCGTGACCCCAGCGTGGGTTGAGGACCCGGCAGGAAGGGGCCGGCTGTGGCGGACAGTGGAGGCGCCCTGTCCTGACATGGAAGGCAGGCAGTCGAGGTGCGGGGAGCCCACTGAGCCGCTGGCCGGTCCCTTTGGGCGCCCCGGGAGCTCGCGGGGCTTGCACCATGCAGCCACTGGTTGTCTCAGAGCACAGGGGACAGTCTCCCGCGGGCACTGAGTGCCGCTGGGGCTCCCTCTGAGGGCATACTGCCCCTCTGGTGTCTCGTCCACTCCACTTCCCCCGGCTGGGCCACGGGAGCACCTGGTGCCGGTGTGGACAGGGTGCTGGCCGGCCCTAACGCTCTCTGTACGTCAGAGCTGAGGGCTCCCCCACAAACCCCATCTTACGAAGCAGGGCTCTTCCCGCCAGGGATGGGCTTGGCACTGCTGAGGTCAGCCCAGCCTGAGGTCAGCCCAGCCCGGGCAGGGGACCACACCCTTCTCAAGACCCTGCCCACCCCCCCTGCAGTCTCTGGCTCCCCACTCCCAGCCCCCCTCCACTGCTGTTCAAGTGGGGCCAGCTGGCTTGGCAGAAGGCCCCAGCCTCCCACCCTGTGTGCCACCTGGCCACGTGCAAAAAAGGGAACCATGTGCTGCAGGCCCCTCCAAGTTCTTTCTGCACCCAGTGCCGGGCCTCTGTCTGAAGGAGGGTCCTGGGCAGGTCTGGAACAGCCCCCCGTGCTTGCACCCGGTCAGGAGAGCAGGTTGCCTAGATCTCCCAACCACAGAATAGGGGCATCAGATGAACTGCCCACTACTGTCTTTAGGGAACCCCTGTGACACCCACTGGGGTCCTGCCAACACAAAGCTGCACTGAATGCTATCAGCCTGCTGGGTAGGGTACCCTTTGCCTCCACACAGAGCTGGTCCTCACAAGGCTCCCACACCTAGTGACCCCACCCCCAGAACCCCGGGTCCCTGGGCTGAATCTCCCTCCTGGTTGTGGGGCAGCCTTGGTTTTCCATGTCTGTGGTTCATCCAGAGGTGGGGGGAAGCTGTGTGGCGGTGTCTGAGCTGGGAGAATGTGTTAATGCCAGCACCACCCCCTCATCAGGCCTGGCTCCCTGTCTACAAAGTGGGGCATCAGCTGACGGCCCCAGCTGCCCTGCCTCCACCAGGAGGGAGCCTGAGCCCAGGGCCTCTGACTTGCTGTGGACCCCAAGCAGGGCAGGCCTCCGGCTGTGCACGCATCCCCGGACTCCACCTCTCCAGAATGAAGCCCATCTTCCTGGTGCTGCTGGCTGCCCTGTTGGGAGTGGACCAAGGTGAGCTTCCTGGACACCCAGGCCTTTTTTTCTGAGCAGTGGTCCACGTTCCATCGAAGCTGTTCCACGGGATGCCTGTGGGGTGGGCGGCCCTTCTCCAGGGGAGGGTCGTTCTAACTGCTACCACCAGCCCCATCATCACCATGGCCTGGGAGTCCCCGAGGCCCTGACCTTTCCGCAGCAGCTCAAGGCCAGCCACTCCAGCAGACCTGCAGACAGTGGCCACCAGGTGTCTGTGGTTGACAAGTCCCTCCCTCACAGTCCCTGCTGTCCTGATGTGCTTCTCATGCGAGAATCAGAAGAGCAACTACCACTGCTTGAAGCCTACCCTCTGCTCCAGCTTCGACAAGTACTGCGTGACGGAGACCAAATCTGGGGGCATTGGTGAGAGGGGAGGCCGCCCATGCTGCTCCCTTGGGGCCTGGCTGCCAGTGCCCACTGACAGCCTCATTTTCCTGCAGGGGATCTGGTGAACTTTGGCCAGACTGTGACCAAAGGCTGCTCCCAGACCTGCCCCACCACCGTCAACCTGGGCCTGGTGTCGGTGAATCGGTACTGCTGCAAGAGCTTCCTGTGTAACTACAGCGCAGCTGGCGGTGGGCCTAAGATCAGCACCACGGTGCTGGGCCTGGGGGTCCTACTCAGCCTCCTGGTGGCACTGCTGAGGCCGGGCCTCTGACTGCTGGCTCTGGCGCCCTGCACCCTGCCCTACTCAGGAAGGAAAGCCAGCTCGCCCAACCCTGACGCCCAGCCTGTCCTGCCCCTCCTTGCTGGGCCCCAGGGCTGGGACTCACATTCACACTTATCCTTACTTCTGAGGAAATGGTGTGAGCTTCTTTGGGGCTCTGGAAAAATGTGTTCCCTCAGAGCCTGAAGGTCCTGCAATCAGTGCAGAGGGCACCCAGGCACTGTCTGCTCCTAGCTGGCCTTCCAGGAGTGAAATCTGTGGGTGCATGAGAGTGTCCTTGTGGGTGTGTGTGGGGCTGCTATGAAGTGGCTGTTTGTAATGGGCCGGCCAGGTGCCCTCGCTGTGTGCCTAGAATTATGCACAGGTGTCCTTAGGCAAGTGAGTATGGGGGGGGGTCTCTGCTGCAAGAAAGGGAGTCCACCCCCTTAGTCCATGCTTTCTGGTGTCCCCACCTCACTTCTTCACATCAGAGGTGACCTTTGGGGACAGCAGTTCCCACTCAGCCATCTGCTCAGATTTACACAACCATCTGAGCCCCTTCCCCTCCCCACCCCCATGAGCCCACTCGAGCCCCTGCTTCCTCAGTGCCTCAAATAAACAGATGTATCCACCATGTCGGCTCTGCAGACTGGCCCTCAATGCCCCGCACACCCTGGTCCTTGGAGATGGTGCAAGAGAAAAGCCCCCATTGGAGGGGGCTGTTGGTCAGGCACCTCTGCTGAGGGTGGGGTGGCCCAGAAGGACCTTCCTCTGCAGGAGGAAGAGGAGCCAGACAGAGAGCAGAGGTGTCAGACAGAGTGAGTCCCCACATCCTGGCCTGCATCGGAGGAGGGGTGCAGAAGGCCAGTGGGACCGGAAAGGCAGAAGACTGCACCAAGCAATGCCATTCATGCAGGATATGGGGTCAAGGTCCCCACTTTTGTCTACAAACCGTACTGCAGCAGGAACAGGAAGCGAGCCTCAGCTGCTAGGTGGCTCTGGGGTCCTAGTGGTTGTTCACGCCAAGGGGCCTCTAATGGGGGCAAGTCTTGGGCCAAATGTACCCACCTCCTTCTGCTCTGCGGGCTGGCTGATGTCAATACAGGGCTGAGGTGGGTCTCTGGGCCTGAGGCCTCACTGTGCGGCCCTCAAGGTGTGGAGGTGACCCAGGTGTTAGGACTGCATGGTTACTCAGTGAGACGAGGGCGCATGAGCGGTTCCCTCCCATCCAGGCAGAGCAGAGCACAGGGTCCTCTGCCCACAGGCAGAATGGACATGGCCAGCACAGGTGGTCCAGGGGGGTCAAACAGCCAGATAACCCCAGTCAGACAGAGGATGTGTCACTGGAAACCAGGAGCCAGGAGTGGGTGGCCCTGGGGAGGCCCTCGCCCCAAGGGGAGGAGGCAAGCTGAGTGGGTCTAGGAAGGACCCAGACCCAGTGGAGCCCTCCAGTCAGGGAGACTGGCCAGAACAAAGGGAGGACGGAAAGGCTGCTTCCTACAGTAGTTCACCCCACACCCCACCCAGCCGCTGTGGAATCATAACCAGCCTCCTATCTGCCCACTAGTCACACATGGCCAGTTGTGACCTGGGGCCCAGTGATGAAAGGATGCCACACAGATGACCTGAGCGGTTTCTGTCAGGAATGAACCTTAACCTGAGGGGACAGGCACTGTCACCCAGACACGCCCAGAAGGAACTGGGAAGTGAGCCTAGGCATCTCAGGACTCAAGGGAGCAAGGGAGGAAGAAAGCAGAGCAAGGGACCCCTCCTCCAGCAGCGCCCCATCCACCATGGGCCTTGGTTCCTTTAAGGGTCTCAGACTGGCCACCGCCTGAGCCCAGGCCGTTAAAGCACTGGGAAGGGAATCCATGGGTGGACACTGAGGCCAGCTGTGTGGTGGACAGGTTTCAGCAGAGCCTCCACATCAAGACAGATGAAGGAGCACTAGCCATCCACCTCTCAAATAGCTGGCTTTTGAAAATCCTGTGAACAATTCAGAGGAACTCTGTTAGACATGATACTAGAGGTAGGACTGTTACAGTGGAAGAGATTTTAAAATGTGGAGAAACAGCTGTCAACATTCATTAATAATTAGAACATAGAATGTATGAAAAAATAAATGTAGTACAACTAGAACTTGTGAAAAATGAAACATATGGAGATCAACTCTGTAGGCATTAGTGAGCTGAGATGGACTGGCACAGTCCACTTTGAATCAATCACATAACCACTGTGAAAAATTGAGGAAGAATGGTGTTGTATTCACAGACAAAGAGGCCATTTCAAGATCTAAAGTACAACCCTGTGAGTGACACTATGAATAGAATACTATTCATTTGTATGAAGGAGCCCTGCTTATACAACTGCTAATTCAAACTAGGACGTTAAACTATGTGAAGACCCAACTCAGCAATACATCGGACAGTGTCCTGCACTCAACTCGATGGCTCCTAACAACAATAAAGATAGAAGTAAATAATTAAACCGCGGCATATCTAGAGAATACTTTTTTCTTTATTTTTTTTTGTTGCACGTTTTCTTCCCCCTCCACTCTCCCATGCCACAGCCCATCTAGAAACACATCTCTTGTTCCTAATCATATATTCCTTTCAGACACTTTCCCCCTCATCTGTCCTAGTGCAGTGTTCTTAACTGTCTCCTCTTTTCCCATTCTCTGCCCACCACTCACTCCTACCCCCACCCCCATCCATCCTACTTTATAACAGCAGCAACTCAGGTGCGCCCCTGTGTGACTGAGATCTTTCACTCAACACCATGCTCTCCAGGATCCCAAGGGCTGTGGAACGCTTTACAAGTTCATCGTTTCTTCAGTGCTGCATAATATTCTATTGTGTGACTATACTGTAGTTTTTCAATCCATTTGTTTATTGATGGGCATTTGGGGTGCTTCCATCTGTTCACTATTGTGAATAATGCAGCAATAAACATGGGTGTGCATATATCTGTTTGACTCCTGGCTGTGGTTTCTTCAGGGTATATTCCCAATATAATTGCTGGATCAAATTTCTATTTCCAACTTTTTGAGAAACTGCCAGACTGCCTTCCATAGTGGTTACACCATTTTATACCCCCACCAGCAGTGAATAAGGGTTCCAATCTTTCCACAACCTTGTCGGCATTTGTTTGCTGCCCTGTTGGACTTGATATTGTTGCTGGGGTGAGATGAGATCTCATAATTCTTTTTATGTACATCTCTCTGATAGCTCAGGACTTTTTATTTTTTAAAAAAATATATAGTTTTTATTTTATACTGGTTTGCTTACAAAGTTTGTATACATTGTTTTTCACACTGGATCTTTGCATTTCCCTTAACCCCCTTTTCATCTACCCATCAAATTGTGACTCTATTATTACCCCCCTGCCCATCCTCACCCCTCTGCTCCTACCCTCCCCACCTTGGATCCTCATACAGGTTTTACTAGTTATCTTTTTATTTCTACAACGGTCTTATGTAATAAAATGCTCTCCAGTCCCTCCCAAGTTAGGTATGATTTTTAAAATAATTGTTTCTGCATGCTGTGTTGTATTTCTTCAGTGAATGTACCACAATTTCACAATCCATTAGATTGTGGTTGGACATTTGGGCTGTTTCTATGTTCTTGCTATGGTGAATATGCTGTGAGCATTGTACACATCTCCAATTATGCTTACATTCTAATTTTCCCTGGATATATTGCTCAGCACGTCTGCAAACGAAAGTCCTTCATCGGGTGAAAGCTTTACTCTATACATATCATTAAGGTGGATCTACCTTACGGCGCTGGCTGAAAATCGCCTGTGACTTCATCCATAGCCACTGGTGAGAGTCAGCGCCCAGAGCCATCAGGAGCTTTAAGCTCGTTGCCCACTTCTGTGGTGTGGACAGCTGAAACCCAGGCCCCGACAGGCACCTGGTGGGGGGGAACCCAGACTCTACTTCATGCTCTGCTGGAGAAGGAGGAGCAGTCTCCTGTACCAGTCAGATCCAGTTTGATGGTACACACACACACACACTTTTCCTTCTTCTTTTTTAAAAAAAGACTACTTCAGCCGTCGTGGCCCTTTGCCACGAAATGTATTTTTTTAAAAAAGTCAGGCAATGAAATGAGAACCTGAAGAACAAAGCCATCACACTCACACTCTGGTGCTGGCGAGTCAGAACCAACAGCTGACCCTCCAGCAGGTTTTTGGAAGCACTTAATCATATGGGAGGAGACTGCCCATCTTTCTCCTGTGGAGCAGCTGGTGGATTTGAACTGTTGCCTTCAGCTGGGTCCCCAGAGCTCCCCTAGAAACCCCATGCCTAACAGAACCACACTTCTGCTCCTGAGTCATCCCACAATTGTTGCTCTCTTCAAGTCCATTGTTGCAGCCGCTGTGTTCACACAGCCCATCTTTTCCCGTGACCCTCTGTGAGGCAAGGTGTCCCTCTCCAGGGACTGGCCCCTGACAACATGCCCAAAGCATGGGAGATGAAGTTGTGTCGTTGTTGCCCAAAGGAGCAGTCTGTGGTTTTCCTTCTCCCATATCAGAGGCCCAGCCCACAAGAGTGGTGTGTTCACTAGCCTTTGCAAGATCCCTATTTCCCAAATAATGCCTGAAACGCAAACCCTTAACAGCTGAGAGAAGTTGGCAGAAGCAGACGGCTAGGATTTCATGATCAAAATGACATTTACAGATGTGTTCTGCATGAAAACAGAATGCAACAGCTCCGGAGGGCACACCTCTCGAAGCAAGCACCTGGTGCTATGGCCACACAGTGTCCACTGTCATGGGGTTGGCTCCAACCACAGGGGTCCTTGGGCAGTGCAGAGCTGCTCCGTGCAGTTGCCCAGGCTGAGATATTTTACACGAGCACATGGCTACATCTTCTCCCACGAAGTAGCTGATGGGTTCATACCAACAACCTTTCTGCTGGCGGCTGAGCACTTAGCCACTGGGGCACCAGGGCTTCTTGAGTCCACATGACAGGCTTCAACCAAGAACTGGAATCTTTAATCCAATGAAAT